ATTCACATGAAACTATTAATTATAACATTAACATGTTCTGGTATACCTAAGATTAAATGAATAAATAGTATTGGAATTTCAGGAAATATAAAATTATTTTATTCATCAATTGTCGTGTAAAATTGCTTTACCAGTATAAAAGCACCACCCTGATATTAAAAAAACAGCTTAATTGCTTAAAGTTTGATTTTTTTTAATTTCAATGTGTTAAAAAAGGAAACTTGCAATCCTTGTTTCCATAATTTTGTTTGAATCTTGCTAATCCTCCCTTGGTAAATAATATAACAGATGTAGCCCTTTCATGAAAGGGCTATTTTGTATAGTATGAAAATAAATATATATTGATCAAACTTTGTATTGCAAAAATTTATCTCTATGTATGTTCGTTAGCCCAATTTTATAGTTGTCTAAACATTAACGCAATAACCCTGTAGATTAATTAGGACCTCGGTTTTTTAAGGGCTCATCCGAAAGACACGTGACTTTCACTTCTAGTGCCTGATGCTTAGCGAAAGAACAGTCACTATGTTCACATCTTAGGTTTGATGAATCGAACCCGGGCCTTCCGATCAACAAGCGAGCGCCCTACCACTAAGCTACCGTGACCGTTACCCTGCAGGTACCTCTTGAATATGTATCTTTTATTTGTATAGAATTTTAGAAAAACATTTAATTATATGACTAAATAAACAATCGGCTGATATTTGTAGAAACCAAATACTAACCGTTAAATTATCAATACTATATTTTGTTGACAAGGTTACACACTGTCAATCATTTGCAAGTAACCATAAGCTAGAGGAATTCACTAGTTTGATATAATGTAGAATAAACTATTTCTTTTTATTCATCAAAATGTAAGCACATTTCACCATGTTATACAGCAAACAATACTGCACATTAGCAATACTGCACATTAGCAAAAGGACTTGACATTTGAAAAAAAATGAACACAACAGCCAATTTAATACCAGAGACTACGCATCAAATTTGTCTATTCATATTATTGACCCAAATTAGTTACTAAAAAGGAACAATATTTGCATCGGTTTCATATTTAGAGAAAAGATTCTAATTAAGATGCCGATAGTTAAAATATTGATTTATATTCGTTAACTCTAGCCCTAGAGTAAACAGTTAAATATCAACATTTGATTGTCAATAATTTATATAATCTGTTTCGAATTGTTTTATTCATTCCTTAAATATTTATCCCTACCAAAGATGAATTTTCTTATTCAATACTTCATGTTAATTAATTGGTTTCTGAAATTTTAGTATGGATTGTCAATAATTCGTTAAGGTATATGTCAATATATGTTAGGTTTTCGACGCAGTATAATTAAAGGGAGCAAAGGTAAGGAGATTTATGTCCGTTTATTATTTTTTTTCAGCTTTAAGCTCAGCAATTACTTTTTTTTTCTCGGAAAAAATACTCTTGACAGTGGAATATGTTATATTATTGGCACTAGATAATCTATAGGAGACAGGGATTTTTGTCCAATTTCTTCTTCTTTTATTTTTTAATTCCATAAAAACAAAATTAACAATTTTCCTTTTTAATTTAAGAATTTAGAAGTAAGTTTTTGTAAAGAATACTCATAAACTCTTGAGTCTTTAGTAATATCTAATTTGTGATAAACATAGTTTTAGAGAACGTGCAATAGCTATTTAGATTTGATATTTAGAAGCTACAGTAGTCAAAACTGCTTAAGGCATGTCACTTGCAATATGAATTATGTAAAAGATTTTTTGAAAAGTATATTTTGAATAACTTCTCATAAAGCATTACTCAAAATTGCGAAGAAAAAATTGGGTCATTGTGCATCTTACTGAGCAGCGGTGCAACTTGACCTTTTTGCACTTAGATTGCAACTTTTTAGTAATCATACAATTTAACATATTTTATATTTTACCTAATATAACCATGGCAATAAATATAATCTTTTAAAAAAATGGTTTAATAATATTTGTTACTGAACAAATCCTGCAAATAAATGCGTCTTAAGTACTTTGTGACCTTTTCGCACTAAAAATATCCTATTTAGGATATCAGCAATCTGAAAAGGCAGAAAAACATTTTCTTGTATCAAACTTTTTATGACTTTAGTACTGTTTGGTTAATGTGTTCTGTAATTTGAAATAATGCAAGAAAAAGTTTTTTCAGTGATGTCAATTTTGAAATACTGATCAAAATATGCAATTTTCAGGTGAAAAACAACGAACATGTTATCTTAACTTCTTAAATAAATCTTTATATTTTGGGAAAGTCTGTTGAGTAAATGTGTAAAATTTGTTTTAAAAATATAAATTGAAACCTACTAGTATATTTTAAATTCCTAGCATATAATAACGAACAAAAAAACTCTGAGTGAAAATTATGTAAGATAATATGTATAATGTGTAGATTTGAAGAATTTCCTTCTAAATATCCTACTGCCACAAGAAATAATCCCTTATAAATTGTGTTCCTTGACAATTTTGTGAGCAATTTTGAAATTGAATATTGTATAATGTACATAGTTTATTTCAGACATGTGTAAGGCCCAAGGGCCTTAACGGTCACCTGAGTACAACAATTTAGAGGATCGATAAACCGATGAATGAAGCTTTGTTGCAAAAAAGCAAGAATAATAGTTCGATTAAGATCAACAAAATAATTGTTCTAGTACATGTATCTATCTCTATGTCCCCCATTTATCACTATTACCATGTAGACTTTTAACCTCTCACATTGACCTCACTTGGCCTTTGAAGAACATTTAAAAAGATAAGTTATTTTTGTTTCATTTTTATTCATGTATTATTTCCAAGTCTACCGGAACATTTAGACTAAGAAAGGACTTTTTGTATTATACAATAAATGTTCTTGCATAATTCTCTTATTCTATTAATCTTTCAAATACATTATCTACAGTGATTAATTATCAAAGGTGAATGGCAAAGGGGAATAACTTCACTCAGTAAAATACAAATTAATAGAGCCCTGGCCAGGACCAGAACACTTGACTAAATGGTCCAGATGTTCAAAATTCTGGTAAAAATACCCTTGCTTATTAACACTCTTTACTCTGTTTGCCTCCAATATGCCCAGGAGCAGAGAAGATCTTAAAAGAAATAATGCATTTTCACTATTTTAACACAGCCCTACCCTAACACCAGAACCCATGACTCAGGGTCATGGAATTTACAAATTTGGAAGAGGTACCCTCATCATCATAACTATGCAGTTACATGTAGTTGAAGATTTTCAAAGAATTCACCCATTTTCACTATATTATCAATAGACCCCCCCCCCCCTCCTCCCCCAAACACAACAGAACCTCTGGGACCACAAGTTTTAAAATTTTGTAAAAGCATCCTTGCTTATCATAACTATACACTTGTTTCTTTGCTTTATTACCAGTAGTAGAAAAAATATTTTGAAAGAAATTATGAATTTTCACTATATAATCAATAGAGTCCCCCCCCCCTTTTTCACCAGAACCCCTGACCCTGGGGACATGAATTTCAAAATTTTGGAAGAGGCAGCCATGCTCATCATAACTATGTACTTATTTAGTTTATTTAATACCCAGGAGCAGAGAAGAAGATTTTGAAAGAATTTATGCATTTTCACTATATAATCAATAGAGCCCCACCCTAACACAAGAACCCCTGACCCTGGGGCTATGAATTTCACAGTAGAGGGCTCAATGCTTATTACAATCATGCCAACAGTTTGACTGCTTGATGTCCAGGAGTAAAGAAGATTTTTAAAGATTGCATTAATTTTGGTGGTTTTAGCCCCACCCCTCAGGCCCCGGGGGGGGGGGGACCATGAAATTCACAATTATTGTCCCCCTTCATCCATAGATGTTATATGCCAAAATTGGTTGAAATTGGTTAAGTGGTTTCAGAGAAGAAGCTGAAAATGTTTAAATGTTAACGCACGACGGACGACGACGGACAAAAACCGGATAGCAATAGGTCACCTGAGTCACTCAGGTGACCTAAAAAAAATTCTTAAATTTCTCTTAAAACCTGACGAGTGATATACCTTAAGTTGACATTTGTGTGTTCAGTATTCTCAAGAAAATGACACAACTTTATTTTATATTATTTTTCCCTCTGCTGGGTTGAAATTAAAGAATTAAACATAGAATAATTTATATGCCTTCTTAGTGGTGTTTTCCGACTCTTTCTTTAACATAATTAATGTGTAGGAAAGAATACAGGCTTCGGCCAAAAATGTAACTTCTATTACTCAATTTTATTAGTTAATATTTGTTCTTTCAGATGACGGCTTTTGCTGTAACTGTTACATTTCTGGTACTTTCACAAGGTACTTGGATTTTTTAAAACCTTGATATTTCTTGTTTTCCCTTTTTACAAAAAAATGTCTATCTGATGAAGTACCTAGACATTTTTTTTCTATCTGATAAAGTACCTATTCAGCATACTGTTAACATTCAAATGATAATCATGCATCCTGCTTCCACCTGTACTTTCTCTAAGGGTCCGTGTTTTTGCCCTCTTATCATTCGTATTTTGCTAAATGGATTTTAGAATTGATCACTGTTCGTTATCTTCAACCTTTGAAAGAAATAACTGTCGCTGTCAATACATTTTTGTAGTGGTCTAAATTAATCTTATTATATGTTGAGACTATTATAGGTCAAGAAAATGTCAAGATAATAAATGCACACATCATATGCAAAAAAAAAAAAAAAAAAAAAAAATCAAAAACAAACAAACATACAAACAAACAAAGGTTTGTTTGTATGTTTTTTTTTTGTTTTTTTTTTTTTTTTTTTGTTTTTTTTGTTTTTTTGTTTTTTTTTACATTTTTGAAAACATATTCAATATATCTGCATTCTCCTCAGAAAATACTCATTTTTGTAACAAGTAGGGTGCATCTTGGCAGTGTACAGGTGTTCGTTTGATATTACAAAATGTAAATTATTTCAGCCATGTACACACATCAGACGACGTGTACGTACACACTCCAACAGTACAAGATGGCGAGGTCACCGTATAGAGCCTATTTGATCCTTGGAGGAAATTTAAATTCGGAGTGCTCAAAGCTGTGTGATAATGACAGTTCATGTAAAGCATACGCCATTGACACATCAAACAGTTACTGCTACCTAACCACTAATACATCTCCTTCCGATGCCAGCAAGCGTAGGTATTTTGCATCAAAGACATGTTCTACTACTCCTGTGCCGACGACGACACAAAATACGGGTACCTGTCCGTATGTACTACAGCAATACATGGTAATAACCTCATATTTCGGTGTCTGGAGTATTGGTGGCAAATTAAACTCCGTGTGTCAAAGACTCTGTGATGACTATGTGTCGTGTAAATCTTACACTATTGATTATGCAACCAGTTACTGTTATCTTAGCTCCTCTGAAGAAAGTCGTTCAGATTCATCTTCGCAGCGGTATTTTGGAGAAAGGCAATGTCCCAGCACTACTACAGACAGTTTTGATTTTATAATAAGTACAACAATCACTTTAGACCCTGAAACGGAATCGGACACCGTATCGGATTTCTTATCAACAGAACCAGGACTTTTGCTAACTACAGAACCAGACGCATCATTCACTACGGAGGCAAAACGTTTATTAACTACAGAACCGGACGTATCATTAACTACAGAGCCAGAAAGTATACAAGCTACTACTGAGCTGGACTTATCATTTACTACGGAGCCGGACTTATCATTAACTACAGAGCCAGAAAGTACACAAACTATTGCACCGGACTTCTCATTAACTACGGAGCCAAAAAGTACACAAACTGCCAAACCGGACTTATCATTTACTACGAAGCCAGAAAGTATACAAACTACTGAACCGGACTCCTCATTTACTACAGAGTCAGAAAGTATACAAACTACCGAACCGGACTTATCATTTACTACGGAGCCAGAAAATCTACAAACTACTGAACTGGACTTATCATTCACTACGGAGCCAGAAAGTATACATACTACTGAACCGAAATTATCAATAACTACGGAGCAAGAAAGTATACAAACTACTGAACCGGACTTATCATTTACTACGGAGGCAGAAAATCTACAAACTACAGAACCTAAATTGTTATCAACTACAGAAGAATCAACGTTAAATACAATCGAGGGAACAACTGAGGCAGAATCTACAATGCGATCTGAGCAGACAACTACAGAATTTAACTCAAAATTATCTACTGACTTGGAACTCATGACTACAAAATCTATGAACCTTTTGACAACAGAAGCAGCAACTTTGCTCCAAACAGAACCAAAAACAAAACAACTATTAGAAAGGGGCACAACATTAACCACGGAATCGATAGAATCAAAAACTAAGGAATCTCAAACATTTTCCAATACAGACGCTGTATCAACCACTGAAGAAGAAACAGTGGAACCAGAAATCTTTACAACGACAGAATCGGAAAGGGTATCGAACTCAAAAACCGACAAATTATTTAATACAGACGAAAAAACCCAATTAACAACGGACTCGGAGATGATTACCACAAAAAGAGAGACTACAGACGACATAGAACAGCATACAATTATAACCACAGACGACATAGAACAGCAAACAATTATAACCACAGACGACATAGAACAGCAAACAATAAAAACCACAGACGACATAGAACAGCAAACGACTATAACCACAGACGAAATAGAACAGCATACAATTATAACCACGGATCTTACCACCATTTTATCGACAGACACGAACCATATACTGACATCAAAGATCTTATTATCTATGGAACCAGAACACTCAAAGGCCACAGAATCCGTATCACTATCATTAACAGAAATGGACTCTACACCATACACCGAAGACGAAACGCTATTAACCACGGAACCTGGGATCATATCAACAAAGGAACCGAACACTTTCGAAACTGCAGTAACGGAAATTTCATCAAACGTAGAAACCGTGACATTATTAACTACAGAACAGGAATCCATAATAACTAATCAAGTTAATACAAAGACAGAGTCACCAAAACAACAAACGACAAAACATAACACGATATCTATAACAGCGAATACAGAAACAATATTACCTGATAAACTTATAACCTCGCACACAACAGAATCAGAAACAAGGGAAACACTGTTAACTACGGAAGCAGTAGCCTCACAGACTACTGAATCAGACACCTTAGAGACAAGAGAAAAGTTATCTACGGAACAAGTATCCATGCAAACAACGGAATCGAAAACCTTACTGACAACAAAAACATCATCTACGGATCAAGGTATCTCGCAAAGAATAACATCAGAAATACCACTAACAGCGGACACGGTGTCACCTATGGAATCAGGTATCCCAACAACCACTGAATCGAGAACCTTAATGAAAACAGAAACTGCAGAACCAGAAATCTCGCACACTACAGAAACGGACACTTCTTTGAAAACACTAACAGCGTCAACCACGGAATCAGTAGACTTGGAAACTACGGAATTGGAATCATTTACGTCAAGACAAACACTGTCGTCTATGGAGCAAGGAAGTTCACCAACTACAGAGTCTAAGACGGTAACAAATCCAGAACAGGATGTTGTGTCAACATCAGAACAAGGGACTTTTATTACAATTGAAACTACTGTCCTTTCAACAGTAGAAACAGAAACGTTATCGACAACAGAGCAAGGGATATTAAGTACAGAACCAATACTTTTATCAAGTACAGTTCCGAAAACACCTTTAACCACGGACCAGAGTACATCATTAAGTACAGATCAGGCAACTTTGAATACCACGGAACAGGAGACGTTGTTTACCATAACGGAACACATTTCAAGTACAGAAGAGGAGAAGACAACGGAATCTAAGAGCACAACACAGGAAACAACAAATACGCCTATACAAATCACAAATGGAACAGTAAATTGCATTTGTGTTTGTCATTACGTCTCTGCATCGCTTGAAGAAAGGATAAACCTCAGGAAACGGTCGCTAATGGTGAATGAGAAAAATCTTTCCTCAACTGTTAGAAAGCTTACATGTGCAAAAGATAATCGTCAGTCGTCAAAATCAATGGGCGCAGTAGGGAGTGTGGTTTTGTCAGTAATTTTTGGACTTTTTGTTTTATCAGATGTTCATCAAGTTTACTTGTTTATGTGCGAAGTATTAAAAATATTGTTACAAAAGTAAACAATAAAAAGAAATTAATAAGGAACATGTTTATTTATTTAATCGGAAAGCGTTTCTGGTCTGTAATATCGAGTGGGCTCCTCCTGACTTCCTGTGATTGATTTTTCTGTGCTTTTTCATCATTACACATCTTTGATTTTTTTCTACAGCTGTATAGATTTCCAATGTCACCATACCTAACCTGAGGACCGTGGGTAAATTAAATTTAAAATTGTTGACATGGGGGGGGGGGGGTTGGATATTGGTACACAAGTCATGTCTCGAGGAATACACCTATGAAATATGATTACCCTGGCACCACCAGTCGTTGCAAACCTATTGTGCAAATGTTAAAGTTTTTAACAAAGTTTTTCTAAGGACAATTCTGGACAAAATGGCGGGCGGTTTCCATAACGGTGCATTATTTGCCTGGATAATTCCTACAGTTTTTAGGATATGATTTTTCTTTTATTTCAGATAAACTGTAAATAAATAAGACATGCGGCTTTGATTTTGGGGAAAACCATTTATTGAACCTTTTAATTTTTATGCAAAATATGCCTTTTTCAATATTACCTCCTACAGTTTTCGAAAAAGAATTTGTTTCACTATCCATGTGATAGCATAGCTGTTTACTATTGCCTAAATTCCATATTTATTGGTGGTTTAGTTTAAAATACGAATTACGGATAGGCTTTCGAAAATCACGCTGCTGTGTTACGCTTCGAATTTCAATCCTTTTAAAGTCATAATAATACGTTAACAATGATAGGGGTATACTTTAAAACCTTAATTATAATAATGCAGTGATATATCGATGGAATTGTTTATGATACATGCTGATAAAACGGATATATGCGAAAAAAACAGGTATTAGCTAGAGATTTCGTATTGCGATATACTGAGATTGTTATGAACTATATTGCGATGTATGTATTGTAATATTTTCAAGGGAAATGAAAATGGTCTCTTTTTATTATTATTATATTATAAACTTCCATTTAAATGCAGAATGTACAAAACTAAATGGCCAAGAAAAATGTATTGTGTTGATTTAATTAGAGTCATGCACCGATATACTCCTATACGACAGTAACCTTACTGTTTGGCACGATTGAAACGTTTCTGACATTATATTCTTTGTATTTTATTTTAGGAATATCGAGTCCAAACAATTTTCCGATATATATCAGTACTACAAAAAAGTCTTGCAAAACAATACTTTTGACATCGTACCGCAATCCACCGGAATATTGGTATTAGTTCAGTTTAAAATATATATATTCATTACAAATGAAATGGATTGAACAGCAGGCATAGTGCCTATAACGTTCTCTCTCTAGGTCAAGGTACATGTAACAATTATTGGTACATTAAACTGCCACGTAGTGCAGAGCAGCTTTAAACAATTAACAATAATACTAAGGTTAAAAAAGAAAATCAACTGAGTACTATTTATAGAACTGGGAAATTCCCTTAAATCGTAAGCGTTTGAAAGACTAAGATATAAACAACCATGTGTTCGTGACAAAGCAAACTACGAGTCTCAAGACTTGTTCAACAGAGTGGACAATGAAACAAAAACGGGTTTGTTTTTTATGACCCTGGATCGAAAGATCCCAGGGGTATATTGTTTTTGTCCTGTTTGTCTGTCTGTTTGTCTATCAGCCCATAACTATTGCGCTGTCAAGGGCAAGGCTTTAATATTTGACATGAGTGTTCATTATGACAAGACCTTTCCATTGGTACAGAAATTTTTGATCATGTGACCTCAACTGTGACCTTTTGACCTACATTTGAAAAACTTTAACATTGGCCATAACTATTGCACTGTAGTCTACGTCCCACTCCAGAATTGTGTTACCATCGGGGGGCATAGTGTTTCACAAACACATCTTGTTTTTTCTTGTTTTTCTTTTGTTCAAATCTAGATCCTACTTTAGGTTCAAAAACTGGAAAAGTTACGGCCAAATTAAGTAAGTGTCTAAGGTCAAGATCAAAGAGGTATAAATTTTTAGTGCCTAAGGACAAATCATGTCACAAGGAATATACATTTGAAATATGAAACTCCTAGCTCCGAACATACTTAATTCAGGGCTATTCAAAAACTTGAGGCTAAAGTTTTTTTTTTAAGTTGGTGAAGATTGTTGATACCCAAGATGAATGACTTTAATGTATGCTTTTTTGTTCTGCTTCAATGATTTTTGACGAAAATACATAGCTAAACAAGGCTTATTTAAAAATTCAATCTTGAGGGGGAAAATCTGATTTTTCGTAAATCGCTTTTCTTGATACAAACTTGGTAAACATTCAGCTATAAAGTTTTTTTCCTCAACTATTTTTATACGCCCGTCTTTAGACGGGACGTATTATGTTATAGCGTTCATGTCCGTCCGTCTGTGTGTTAGCTTTTCTCGTGTCCGGCTCATAACTTTAATACTATTCGGCCTAGGATTATCAAACTTTGTCAGCTGATACTTCTTGGATAGAAGGTGTGTCGCGCACTAAAAGTAGGTCGCTCTGACCTTTAATTGAGATGCTATGGCCAAATATGGAAAAATCCTGTCCGGCTCATAACTAGAAAACTATTCGACTTAGAATCATCAAACTTGGCCAATTTATGCATCTTAGGTAGAAGGTGTGTCGCGACCTCTTTCAAGGTCACTGTGACCTTTAATTTAATTGAAATTTAAAAAACGTCTTTTTACTATTAGATTACACAATCCCAAAAAATGCAAGAGTGTTGCAGTATCCTTATTAAAAAAATGTTAAATCAAGAAAATACTTATTTTTTTCATAATATACTTTACAGCAATCTATAACAAATGTAATGTTACAAGAGAAATTCCAACTCTCCCAGGGGTGTAATTATCAAGCACTGGTCAAGGAGAATTTGATAACAGAAAATTGCACGTCAAATTAGAGAGAAATTAATGAGTTTAGTGTGAGGAGCTAACTGGTAGAGCATCTCTGATTAAGCAGGTGTTATCTATATCTTTTGGGAACTAGGCAAAAAGAATCAGCCGTGTTGGATTAAATAGTTGGCTAACCTAACTTTTAAAATGAATTTGGTGAAAAGTAATTAAAACTTATTTGATATTTTATAATAAATTAATTTGATATTGTATAATAAACTAATTTGATACATTGTATAATATAATTAAAACTCATTATACCCCGGGGGATATTGGAATGAATTGCAGCTTAAAACCAGTCTGACATTAAATCTAAAAAATATCAAGTTTTTAAAAAATGTTTTAATTATGGTAGATAGGTCCTAAAAATCTAAGGGTAATGCAGAAACCTTATCAAAAATGTTGCATCAAGATTACACAAGTTCTTTTTTCTTTTTATAAATCTTTGTAACAAATTAAAACAAAAATCTTTGTTTTTAAATTTAATTTCAGAATGACATAAATATGCATTTTTATTGCACTACAAAGCAGATAGTATGTATAGATCCATTCATCCCTTGGGAGTAATGAGTGAACATGCATCCAGTTAAAGATTAATTAATGAGTTCAGTGTAGGAAGGCTAGCTGTCTCAATCATTTCTTTTAAAGGATCTCTGATCAAGCAGCTTTTATCTGTATCCTTTGGGAATAAGACGGAAGAACTGCATGTCAGTTTATAGCATATGTCATTTGATGGCCAGCCTTTTGTTTTTAATATTAATTTGATATAGATTAAGTTGTTAAGACTAAATTGATATTGTTTTATATGATTTTATTTAATTTTTTGAAAATATCAACTAATTCAGAGCATCATGTCTCTCAAATCTGACGGGGGGGGGGGGGGGGTTGCAGGTTGGAATTTGTCAAGCTCTAACACAAACAGTTGAGGATCTTTAATGTAATATTTGTTATAATTAATGCCTACACCACAGGAGATGTATAACAAATATAAGGAATGGAAAAATCATTGAAATCCTTGTATCAAGGTTGACATGATTTTCTTGCACTCTAAACTGTTTATGACAACTGAACAATATTTGACGGGCGTATCATGCTGTGGCGGGGCACTTTATTTTGAATTCATACTCTCGGTTATAGTATCCAACGTTAATACCTCTGCTACGCCACTTTATTGCCAAATCATGGATGGAAAAGGTAACATAAAAATAACTTTATTCTGAGGCGGTCCGGCAACACAAAAACTGTCTTTCGGAACATAAGGAAGCTCGGATGGGGGTGGTGTCAAAAACGTGAAAATTAAAGGAGGTTGGAAGGGGGTAGATGGGGCTGTGAATCTGCAAATATCACTTGCACTATATTTACAATCATGTACATGTATAAGTAAAGTATAATTTATAACTAATATATTTCATATAAAACGGGGTGCCTCTATTTGTAGAGGTTACTCATCTTGCTTTCCATATTTAAATTTCAGACGCATCCAGGGGAAATCCAAATTCTTAAGACAACAAACGAATATTATTTCTTTCAATAATTTAATTGCTATAGACATATAACTGGGTTGAAATAAGGTAAAGTATCATTATATATTGTCTTTTTAACTAATATTTTTAAAACAAATAAATGGTGTATGACTGTGTCTAGCGCAGTGTATCACAGGAAAGACAGATACAGTTAAACTTCGTTATCTCCAAGTTGTCGGGACCGTTGATGAATTAAGAGATATCCGGGGGTTCGACATATCGAGGTGTTTAATTCAAATGGACTTAATATAAACTTAGCATACTGAATATGTACTTTATAGTAATAACTCCTCAAATTCCTCCTTGTTGGAAATTCTGTGTACAATTTCGTAAATGTATATATATACATGTATTTAGCAATAAAAAGATTTTTGTATAATTCACAAAATAAAAACTTTGTATAGTATGCACAGATGTATAATTCTTCTACCAACCGCAGGCATCGTTTCCCATGTATACAAAACCGAATATCGTCTATTTAACACTGAATCACATGTAACTATTGCACAAGTTTCACTGCGACACACGGTCACATGACGGCGTGTTTTAACGATTGTAAATTCTGCACGCTCTTACACAGGAAAAATAAATTTTAATTTCATTAAATTACAGAATTTTGTTTCATTTATAGTGACGTTTATAGTTTTCTCTTTGATATGCATAACCTATGCGAGCGCACATATTACACATAGCATTAAATAGCAATTAGCAAGATTAACGTATCCCAGCCACAAAGCAATTAACGTTCATCCACGCGTATGCATTAGA